TCAGGTTTATCACTGTACATGTTTCTGTGGGACAGTATATCACTGTACATGTATCTGTGATACAAGTTTATCACTGTACATGTATCTGTGATAAACCTGTCTCACTGTACATGTATATGTGAGAAAGGTTTATCACTGTACATGTTTCTGTGGGTCAGGTTTATCACTGTACATCTATCTGTGAGACAGGTTTACTACTGTACATGTATATGTGAGACACGTTTATCACTGTACATCTATCTGTGAGACAGGTTTACTACTGTACATGTATATGTGAGACAGGGTTATCACTGTACATGTATGTAGACAGGTTTATCACTGTACATGTATCTGTGACACATTTTTATCACTGTAAATGTATATATGAGACAAGTTTATCACTGTACATGTATCTGTGAGACAGGTTTATCACTGTACATGTATCTGTGAGACAGGTTTATCTATCCAAACACTTTCTGGTGTTCATATTAGACATACACAAAATGGCGTAAATCAACAGTACAGTGAAAATGTAGTTCAAGTGAAATTGTATTTCATAGTCATAGAATGTGTATCATTCTCGCATTAGGTAATGTGGAGTCGATTTTACCGTTTCTCAAACTAACTATTGTGTCACTTATTTAACGGTGATATGAACATACATGTTTTTATTGATATTGTAAAATAAGCCATCACGATTTAAGCATTTAGGTTAGTAAAATATTGCCGATAATCAGAGTGAATGAGTTTTTAATGACAAATTAAAATTTAATACAGATACTTATATAACATAAATCGGTTGCAGGTAAATGACAACAACCAAAAGTGTTAGAAAGAATCGTGTTTTATTAAATCCGAAAAAATATATTCACCATACCAACTATTTACACAACAAGCAGTGTCTCCTGCAGTACATCCTTGCCAGGTGTTCGTTGTCACAGGGAAACACCTGACATTGTTCTACACTCATGGCGTCACGGCAGTCGTGTATAGTGACGTCATTGGGCTCTGTGAAAGGTACAAATAGGGAAACACTGAATTTATGAATACAACAATCGCTTATACTTAGAAGAATATCAAACTATCAAAGAAACTGTAAAACATTATCAAAGGAAAATCACTATATAATTGCCTGTATTGGAAACTATTCAAGGCCAATTTACCATTTCGAGTTATAATTGGAGCAGCAGTTGTATTTGGAACGTAAACAGTTTCCGGCGGAGGAACAATACGTCCGTTACAGAGATCCTTGTCACAGCAGTAAGAACAGGAGAAATCCCTTTCGTACAGAATGTCCTCGTTAAATAGGTCACAGTGACCAGACAGAGAGGTTGTGCTACGTGGGAGTCGGTAACAGTCCTGCTCACTCACACATCTGTAGAACAAAATATACATACAACAAAACACTGCAAAACTCCCCGATTACTATTCCAAATAAGATATATATCGATACTATGAAATCATTTTGGAGTAAATAAATAGTTTAAGGACTGATTTAATATCATACTATAAATAAAATAACTTTTAATACAAATTTTGGTTATGATTTTACTTTTATGTAAACTTTGTAGAACGAATGTAGCATACTAGTAATGCAACGTAATGCATATGTTTTACAAAATCGTCAATGTTTTACGTCACTATAAAGATGATGAGGTAAATTCAATAAGTCTTCAGATGACGTCAAATATAACGTAAACCAAGTAGATAATACAAACAATAAAAAACGCTTTCCGTAAAAACACATATAGCATCAGGCAAATTATAACATGATTTTCTTCACAATTGACTATAATTATATTCAACGTTTAAGTGTTACATGAAAGATGGTTATACACACATTTATTATCATTTATCAAAGGTATCCTATTAAGTAAACAGAAAATTTAAACGTTGATCCTTAAACACGCCCACCCCTTGAACACCTCCCGGTAGCCGCTGTTGTAGTTGGTGAGGTTGGTGAGACAATACGCAGTGCTTCCTGTACACAGCTGTACTCGTCCTGTACCCGCTCCAGTGTAACACTTAGCTGGAAACAAACAGCGAACAACACTTGTAAGTCAAACATATGATTTAACTACCATTTCGTTAATGATAACACGTTTAATTGACATATAACCATCATGCCCACATAGTGTATCCTTAACACCCACAAAGTATTTGTGGTGATACCGAATGTCAATTTATAAGGTCACAAATAGTCACATGGCAGAAACGTGGTATGAATTCATCATGGAATCCGGAAAAAACAACAACAATTAATGGCATTTTTTTGCATATATCCTTAATGAGAACTTAAGGTGTATGCCGATTTTTTTCTGATGCGAAGGATAACGAAATTATATTAGTAATCTATAATAACGGTGCAGTTAAATTTGCCCTACTAAACAACTCACTACTTTGTGGACTACTTGTTGTCGATGGCGGTGGTGTTCCACGAGTCTGGAGTTGTACACTACCAGCAACAATTGTCGACGACGTCAAATTTTTATTGTCTGAAACCATTATATTATTTCATATTTTATAAAGATCAATTAATGTATTCCGTAAAATCAACCCCATTCCTTTACCTCATTTCTATGCTGACAAGCTTCTTATTAATTAGACAAAACACATTTGAGCATCAAAAGTTACCTTTTGTTAAGTAACAAATACATGGAAACAAAGAAATCTTAATCAACAACTACTTGTGTATTTCATAGATGTTAAGGGCGTTGCACAGTCTGTTTATTATCGACTTACACATGGCATGGAAGAGATTGCAGAAATCAGCCGTACAACAGCCGTAATCCCCAGAACACCCTGGCGATCTCTTGGAGTGATGACAGGAGGAAGTACCATTCTGAACAGGGCATAGCTTCAAATAGAGCACGCGGCATGTTATACTCGAAGTTACTAGTATGTTTGCTTCTCTATTTTGTATTTTCAAATGGATCGATCACAATTGTAAGTACATTTGCCTTCATCGATCACTTTACTTACCACTGCGGCAATGCTAATAGCTTCATGATTTTTAAAAGGGATAACAATGTACTTGAGGAAACATTTTTTCTTTGATTACCACATTGCGAACAATTAGTCATGGCGACGTCGATGCTCTACTGTATGCAATACGAACCTGACTAATAGTGTACACATCTCTAGATGATATTGCACTAGTAGGCACTACTTGTCGCGGCTTAGTATAGTCATAACGCGACGGTTAAGGACCCGCTGAGTTTATATGACGTTGTAATGACATGACGATTATGGAATAAAACTCACGTTTCTGTCCTCGCACTTGAGTTCGTACTTGTACACCGCTTGATACAAGTCATTAAATTGCAGATGTTCGTGATACAGACACTCCTGAAAACAACAAATAAAAATCCATCAACAGTATTGATTCCTCAGTGAATAACAGTACATTAACACACATGTCACGTGCAGTGAACAAATAACCATAGGAATGAAAGAACATTAAAACAACAAATAACCAAACAACTGCATTGCAAGAATGAAAATTTACATCAATAAACATGAAGCATCTGTACAGCATCAATCATACATATCGTAGTAATAGGCAAATACCAAGAACTATCTTTGGTGTATAGGCAAGTAATTCTACTATTGTTTAAACACAGAGGATAAGGCTGTGAAAATGCTAATTTAGCAACTGAAATTTATATCAGATTCCGTTATATTCTACATGCTTTCTACAATGGTGCCAACGGATAGGCTGTAATGACAACACGCTGTCTGGTAAAGGATGGAATTATCGAGTTTATACACAAAGTAAACATTAACATTAAAAGACTCTCGATGAGTTTATTTTTTCACAAGGTTAGAACAAGATAAGGCGTATCACTAGTGGATGACAAGTGTCCATTTCAAAGCTTTTTATCAGCCTTATCCCTAAATTAGCACCTGTTCATATCTACAGTAACAGTCCCTTTATATATTGTATAAAATACTCACTTGGTGTTCTCCACACAGGACCGCTGAGTCACAGTCAGAAGGATTAAGGATGTCCTTACATGTCATACACAGGGACCGACCTTTGGATGCGCCTTAAAATATAAGAACCATTTTGATTGGCTAGACCACTTGTATTATATATAGGGCGTAAAAGCTCGCCGTCTATTTTATTGCGTTGATCATGGAATTTTACTTTCGGAATAATTATATTTTAACCTAAAATAGATAACTTGAAATAAATCCACCGATTGGTTGATTAAATATGAAACACTCATACAAACTACAAGTAAAGATATATAGTTTGTGCACTATAACACAAATAAGTTTAATCACAAATCCCCTAAAATACGTAATTACGTGTAGAACTCAGCCATATTGCATCCCTTCGTTTTAGTGACCTGTCCTCAAGTATTTCATTACAAAGGAAATGGTACCTACTGCGGAGGCCGTTACATCCTTGTCCGTTACAACAGCTCTGGTCCAGCACTCTTCGCGGAACCGGAAATAGACTGTCCAGCGGTAGGGCGATCCCATGATGCTCTAGGCTATCACACGCCTGTAACAGTAATGCAGTTATGTCATTGCGTAATTACTTTTTTTGTTCTCAATTAATTGAACAATTCTTGTATATAAAAAAAAAACTATTCGTTTAATACACGAGGCCTTTATCCTTTAATTATATACAAATATATAAATGTATTTTAATAAATACTTATAAATCCTTATTTCAGTAACGGATAAGGTTACATACACAGAGACGGTTTTTGCGATAGACCACATTGGTATGTTACCAATAGATTATGCAATATCAGAAATCTTAACCATTGTCACATAATTATTAGCTAGATAAATGCTTTACCCTTTTTGCCGTACATCCAGTGTAAAATCTCGCATGACCGTCAACTGTCAAGTAACGAGATGTCATGCATTTCTGAAAAGAAAAGTTGATATCATTCAGTATCTAAGTCTAGGTATATCACAAAATTCCTGACGTCTAATTTTATTTTATTTTTACAAAGGGTCCGTGATAAAAATATCAATGTTTATATGTATTCTATTTGAAGTTTATCATTTTTAATCAACGTTAGTCAAATTTGTAAATATCGCTGAATTAGATATACGTTAAGGTGCTTTAAGGTAAAGAAAGTTGATACAAAATCAGTTATTTTCAAAACTTTATTCGATTGATATGCTTTTTTTCATGTATGTTTCTTATATTCTATTATTGTCTTCGTATCTCTTCACTTAAACAGCACATACACATTGTACATATTATATTATGATGTCAAATTACCTCGACACTGGCAAATAAAATATAGTTTAAGATTCTGTTGTCTAATCACCTCTTCATTAGCATATTTCATATTATTGGTATATTCTTATCATACATATCTTGTAAATACCTAGTGAATCACCTGTACATGTACTTTGTATATTATGTTGTCCACAAACCTCGATACCAGCATACCACATGTACTTTGTATATTATGTTGTCCACCCACCTCATCACTAGCACACCACATGTACTTTGTATATTATGTTGTCCACCCACCACGTCACTAGCACACCACATGCACTTTGTATATCATGTTGTCCACCCACCTCGTCACTAGCACACCACATGTACTTTGTATATTATGTTGTCCACAAACCTCGTCATTAGCACACCACATGTACTTTGTATATTATGTTGTTCACCTACCTCGGCACTAGCACACCACATGTACTTTGTATATTATGTTGTCCACCCACCTTGTCACTAGCACACCACATGTACTTTGCATATTATGTTGTCCACCCACCTCGTCACTTGCACAACTCAAGTATTTTGTATATTATGTTGTCCACCCACCTTGTCACTAGCACACCACATGTACTTTGTATATTATGTTGTCCACCCACCTCGTCACTTGCACAACTCAAGTATTTTGTATATTATGTTGTCCACCCACCTCGTCACTAGCACACCAAATGTACTTTGTATATTATATTGTCCACTCACCTCGTCACTTGCACACCACAAATATTTTGTATATTATGTTGCCCACCCACCTTGTCACTAGCACAACACATGTACTTTGTATATCATGTTGTCCACCATCTCGTCACTAGCACACCGCATGTACTTTGTATAATATGTTGTCCACTCACCTCGTCACTTGCACACCACAAGTATTATGTATATTATGTTGTCCACCCACCTTGTCACTAGCACAACACATGTACTTTGTATATCATGTTGTCCACCATCTCGGCACTAGCACACCACATGTACTTTGTATATTATGTTGTCCACCCACCTCGTCACTAGCACACCAAATGTACTTTGTATATAATGTTGTCCACCCACCTTGTCACTAGCGCAACACATGTACTTTGTATATTATGTTGTCCACCCACCACGTCACTAGCACAACACATGTACTTTGTATATTATGTTGTCCGCCCATCTCGGAACTAGTACACCACATGTACTTTGTATATTATGTTATCACCCACCTCGTCACTTGCACAACACAAGTAATTTGTATATTATGTTGTCCACCCACCTTGTCACTAGCACAACACATGTACTTTACCCATCTTATCACTAGCACAACACATGTACTTTGTATATTATGTTGTCCACCCACCACGTCACTAGCACGACACATGTACTTTGTATATTATGTTGTCCGCCCATCTCGGCACTAGCACACCACATGTACTTTGTATATTATGTTGTCCACCCATCTTATCACTAGCACAACACATGTACTTTGTACATTATGTTGTCCACCCACCTAGTCACTAGCACACCACATGTACTTTGTATATTATATTGTCCACCCACCTCGTCACTAGCACACCACAAGTATTTTGTGTATTATGTTGTCCACCCACCCTGTCACTAGCACAACACATGTACTTTGTATATTATGTTGTCCACCCACCTCGTCACTAGCACACCACATGTACTTTGTATAATATGTTGTCCACCCCCCTCGTCACTTGCACAACACATGTACTTTGTATATTATGTTGTCCACTCAGCACGTCACTAGCACAACACATGTACTTTGTATATTATGTTGTCCACCCACCTCGTCACTAGCACACCACATGTACTTTGTATAATATGTTGTCCACCCACCTCGTCACTTGCACAACACATGTACTTTGTATATTATGTTGTCCACCCACCTCGTCACTAGCACACCACATGTACTTTGTATATTATGTTGTCCACCCACCTCGTCACTAGCACACCACATGTACTTTGTATATTATGTTGTCCACCCACCTCGTCACTAGCACACCACATGTACTTTGTATATTATGTTGTCCACCCACCTCGTCACTTGCACACCACATGTACTTTGTATATTATGTTGTCCACCCACCTCGTCACTAGCACACCACATGTACTTTGTATATTATGTTGTCCACCCACCTCGTCACTTGCACACCACATGTACTTTGTATATTATGTTGTCCACCCACCTCGTCACTAGCACACCACATGTACTTTGTATATTATGTTGTCCACCCACCTCGTCACTTGCACACCACATGTACTTTGTATATTATGTTGTCCACCCACCTCGTCACTAGCACACCACATGTACTTTGTATATTATGTTGTCCACCCACCTCGTCACTTGCACACCACATGTACTTTGTATATTATGTTGTCCACCCACCTCGTCACTAGCACACCACATGTACTTTGTATATTATGTTGTCCACCCACCTCGTCACTTGCACACCACATGTACTTTGTATATTATGTTGTCCACCCACCTCGTCACTAGCACACCACATGTACTTTGTATATTATGTTGTCCACCCACCTCGTCACTTGCACACCACATGTACTTTGTATATTATGTTGTCCACCCACCTCGTCACTAGCACACCACATGTACTTTGTATATTATGTTGTCCACCCACCTCGTCACTTGCACACCACATGTACTTTGTATATTATGTTGTCCACCCACCTCGTCACTAGCACACCACATGTACTTTGTATATTATGTTGTCCACCCACCTCGTCACTTGCACACCACATGTACTTTGTATATTATGTTGTCCACCCACCTCGTCACTAGCACACCACATGTACTTTGTATATTATGTTGTCCACCCACCTCGTCACTTGCACACCACATGTACTTTGTATATTATGTTGTCCACCCACCTCGTCACTAGCACACCACATGTACTTTGTATATTATGTTGTCCACCCACCTCGTCACTTGCACACCACATGTACTTTGTATATTATGTTGTCCACCCACCTCGTCACTAGCACACCACATGTACTTTGTATATTATGTTGTCCACCCACCTCGTCACTTGCACACCACATGTACTTTGTATATTATGTTGTCCACCCACCTCGTCACTAGCACACCACATGTACTTTGTATATTATGTTGTCCACCCACCTCGTCACTTGCACACCACATGTACTTTGTATATTATGTTGTCCACCCACCTCGTCACTAGCACACCACATGTACTTTGTATATTATGTTGTCCACCCACCTCGTCACTTGCACACCACATGTACTTTGTATATTATGTTGTCCACCCACCTCGTCACTAGCACACCACATGTACTTTGTATATTATGTTGTCCACCCACCTCGTCACTTGCACACCACATGTACTTTGTATATTATGTTGTCCACCCACCTCGTCACTAGCACACCACATGTACTTTGTATATTATGTTGTCCACCCACCTCGTCACTTGCACACCACATGTACTTTGTATATTATGTTGTCCACCCACCTCGTCACTAGCACACCACATGTACTTTGTATATTATGTTGTCCACCCACCTCGTCACTTGCACACCACATGTACTTTGTATATTATGTTGTCCACCCACCTCGTCACTAGCACACCACATGTACTTTGTATATTATGTTGTCCACCCACCTCGTCACTTGCACACCACATGTACTTTGTATATTATGTTGTCCACCCACCTCGTCACTAGCACACCACATGTACTTTGTATATTATGTTGTCCACCCACCTCGTCACTTGCACACCACATGTACTTTGTATATTATGTTGTCCACCCACCTCGTCACTAGCACACCACATGTACTTTGTATATTATGTTGTCCACCCACCTCGTCACTTGCACACCACATGTACTTTGTATATTATGTTGTCCACCCACCTCGTCACTAGCACACCACATGTACTTTGTATATTATGTTGTCCACCCACCTCGTCACTTGCACACCACATGTACTTTGTATATTATGTTGTCCACCCACCTCGTCACTAGCACACCACATGTACTTTGTATATTATGTTGTCCACCCACCTCGTCACTTGCACACCACATGTACTTTGTATATTATGTTGTCCACCCACCTCGTCACTAGCACACCACATGTACTTTGTATATTATGTTGTCCACCCACCTCGTCACTTGCACACCACATGTACTTTGTATATTATGTTGTCCACCCACCTCGTCACTAGCACACCACATGTACTTTGTATATTATGTTGTCCACCCACCTCGTCACTTGCACACCACATGTACTTTGTATATTATGTTGTCCACCCACCTCGTCACTAGCACACCACATGTACTTTGTATATTATGTTGTCCACCCACCTCGTCACTTGCACACCACATGTACTTTGTATATTATGTTGTCCACCCACCTCGTCACTAGCACACCACATGTACTTTGTATATTATGTTGTCCACCCACCTCGTCACTTGCACACCACATGTACTTTGTATATTATGTTGTCCACCCACCTCGTCACTAGCACACCACATGTACTTTGTATATTATGTTGTCCACCCACCTCGTCACTTGCACACCACATGTACTTTGTATATTATGTTGTCCACCCACCTCGTCACTAGCACACCACATGTACTTTGTATATTATGTTGTCCACCCACCTCGTCACTTGCACACCACATGTACTTTGTATATTATGTTGTCCACCCACCTCGTCACTAGCACACCACATGTACTTTGTATATTATGTTGTCCACCCACCTCGTCACTTGCACACCACATGTACTTTGTATATTATGTTGTCCACCCACCTCGTCACTAGCACACCACATGTACTTTGTATATTATGTTGTCCACCCACCTCGTCACTTGCACACCACATGTACTTTGTATATTATGTTGTCCACCCACCTCGTCACTAGCACACCACATGTACTTTGTATATTATGTTGTCCACCCACCTCGTCACTTGCACACCACATGTACTTTGTATATTATGTTGTCCACCCACCTCGTCACTAGCACACCACATGTACTTTGTATATTATGTTGTCCACCCACCTCGTCACTTGCACACCACATGTACTTTGTATATTATGTTGTCCACCCACCTCGTCACTAGCACACCACATGTACTTTGTATATTATGTTGTCCACCCACCTCGTCACTTGCACACCACATGTACTTTGTATATTATGTTGTCCACCCACCTCGTCACTAGCACACCACATGTACTTTGTATATTATGTTGTCCACCCACCTCGTCACTTGCACACCACATGTACTTTGTATATTATGTTGTCCACCCACCTCGTCACTAGCACACCACATGTACTTTGTATATTATGTTGTCCACCCACCTCGTCACTTGCACACCACATGTACTTTGTATATTATGTTGTCCACCCACCTCGTCACTAGCACACCACATGTACTTTGTATATTATGTTGTCCACCCACCTCGTCACTTGCACACCACATGTACTTTGTATATTATGTTGTCCACCCACCTTGTCACTAGCACAACACATGTACTTTGTATATTATGTTGTCCACCCACCTCGTCACTAGCACACCGCATGTACTTTGTATAATATGTTGTCCACCCACCTCGTCACTTGCACACCGCATGCATTTTGTATATTATGTTGTCCACCCACCATGTCACTAGCACAACACATGTACTTTGTATATTATGTTGTCCACCCACCACGTCACTAGCACAACACATGTACTTTGTATATTACGTTGTCCGCCCATCTCGGCACTAGCACACCACATCTACTTTGTATATTATGTTATCCACCCACCTTGTCACTAGCACAACACATGCACTTTGTATATTATGTTGTCCACCCACCTCGGCATTAGCACACCATTTGTAGTTTGTATATTTTGTTGTTCACCCACCTCGTCCCTAGCACAACACATGCACTTTGTATATTATGTTGTCCACCCACCTCGGCATTAGCACACCACTTGTAGTTTGTATATTTTGTTGTTCACCCATCTCGTCCCTAGCACACCACATGTACTTTGTATATTATGTTGTCCACCCACCTCGTCACTAGCACACCACAAGTACTTTGTATATTATGTTGTCCACTCACCTCGGCACTAGCACACCACTTGTAGTTTGTATATTATGTTGTCCACCCACCTCGTCACTAGCACACCACAAGTGCTCTTTATATTATGTTGTCCACCCACCTCGACACTACCATACTACATGTACTTTGTATATTATGTTGTCCACCCACCTCGTCACTAGCACACCACATGTAGTTGGTACATTCTGTAGCAGTTTCCACTTCGTCGCAATTAGCACAGAGTTGTCTCCCTTAAATGAAAGAGTATCACTGATTAACTCTGTTCGTTCTGCCCTTTATTCTTGAATAAAATAATTCAAAACCGACGGTTAACAGTGACGTAGTCTATCACAAACCTAGCATGGATGCATTTGATCAACTTCTATTACAGCTATGACTCATGAGGGATTTTTTTTTTTTTTTTTTTCAAGGAAGAATTCTTGTTTAATAATTTTATAGGACGCGTGATAGCATGGTCACATGTTAGGTAAAGCGTCCAATTGTACGTGTTTCTAGAAGTACCTGACTTACACGAGATCGACTAATATATTTAAAAAATGATATGTACATTGCCACAAAGGCTTGATATAACAAGATATAAGAAAATATGAAGAGAAGGGAACTATTGCTCATAGGCTAACAGAAGTAATAGAATGGGTTTTACCAATGTATGGATTATATTTTCATTGGAACCAACATTCATGACGCATCATTAAAATATCATAAAATGATAGTTCCAGAGAGCGGCGTTACAATGAGATACATAATAAGTTGTCCCGATTATGTTAGCAACTATATGTTGTACCATTCAAATAACTATACAGCATACGTACCATCATACAGAGCGGAGGTTACCATGAGGAGACTCAATATTACAGTCAGACGGCCTAGCCCTTAAGAATATAATGCAATGTGTTATAGATATTCTAATTGCAAGGTGATAACAGAAATCATGCACCATTGTGTCAACACACAAGGACAACTTATTCATTCAGAGCCGGTACGTTCATATAAGAAAAACACCGGGGAAAAACACGTTCTCAAGACATCGAAGCGACTCTTCCATCACGTATACCGTAGGTCTCTATAACGATATCTGTGTGTTGATTTGTTCAAAACATTATTCGTTTTCATGTACGTTTTAAGTTGAATAGAAACGAACTTTAAAGCAACACATATGCCTTGTATATGCTATAAAAAGCTGACCTTTACAAATACAGAAAATCATTTGACTAGTTATTTCATATTTCTAAAATATAATATTGAAACAGTTTACTGACCTGTAGCAGGCACAATCATGTCCGCCATTTCTCGCTTATACATTAACTATTACGTGAGGTCTTATCAACACACAGTTGGTTCTTGGTACATATGTAAAGGAACCCTATCAGGAAGTTTTGTTCACATGTGTTGACAAACCAACCCTTAGTATTGTGACAGTTACAACGAGACGTTATAATAATAAAAAAAAACCTAAAGGACACGGAATGTAACATTTCATTTTTTCATCATGCTGTTTTGCTAACGGCAACTGAGAGAATATTAAAACCAAAGGTTAAACAGAGTAAACTTAAACAGGGTAACACTGATTCCCTCCGTCAAATAAACACCAGTATAATTGCCTCTTAGTAGCTAAGTCGCGCACACAGAGGAATGTTTTATTGAGACTGTGATTGTGTTAGGTAGAATTGTGTTATAATGGCTGACGTAGTCTGTCTTCCGAGTAGAATGGAAACTCTCGGAACCAAAACAGTGGATAAGTTGTTAATCTATCACTAGGACGAACATATCCAGCAAACGTTGACGCAGGGAACAAATTAAGGAATCAAGTGTAGTATGTTAATAATATACTCAGGGAGACTCGTACAAAAGGAATTAGGAACAAATGAGGGTGAACACGAGGTGACTATGTTATCTTTAATTTCAAATTCTACACAAAACGTGAAATGAAACGAAATAATCGGACCGATGCAAGTATATACTCCTTCTGTATTAGTTCAGCTTTGCAAGAAAAACAAAAGCCGATTAGTTAGAATTGTTGCACTGTCAGGTCTAAAGTTCCATTGCAGTGTATTAGCACTCTTCTGGATTTGTGATTCCGAAGCCTTATTGATGACAATTCCCTTTTAACAAACCCCATGTATTGATGTCGTGAAGACGTATTGTATGTCTTGAAGATTTATCAAATACTCCTAACAAGAGTTTGGCATCTCAGTAACTTGGTCGAAAATTTTGACGAATATTTTAAATTCTGTCATACGAATGAATATATTAAGTATTATATAATATGCTGCTCGATATTGCTTTACATATATAAACCACCATTATACTCTATAATGTAAGTTAACAGAAAGTTACGATGGCCGATAGCGGCTGTCATAGCTTATATTTAATATGCATTTGACTTGTACGTAAACATTTGTTTTTTCAGATTTCAGATTTTATTTCCAACACTCAGACACATGAAAATGTGTAACATGAGGTACATGTACATGGAATTCATATATTTAAATTATGACAGGATGGACAGGTGCATGCATGTATATGAAGATACTGATATATATATATATATGCATGATAACATGTTGTACGAATGAACTATTTCGTAATTAGACACAGCAATGCATACATATATGTAGATAGCCACGCATATATCCAGACCTTTGCATATACATATATATGCACATCCATACACATACAATGCATACCAACAAACAGACGCCTACGTATATACGCGCATACACACATATATTCACAAACATATGACTACATCCCAGATACATATACACACACACGCACATATGCATACATTTCCGTATCCAAAATACTCACATAGTCA